GTCCATGGTGCTGTCCCAGCCCTCCTGTCCCACTCCTCCATTCCTTGAAGGATTGCTGATTAAGCGTCTCCCTAAATCGCTGTCACTGCCCTCCGGGATCCTCTTGTTCAGCCCCCCAGGAAGGCGTTGGTTCCTCGGTGCTCACCCCCAGCCGCTGTTCCCAGTGCTGAACTTGCCTCGGATCCAGCATCTCCTGGCTGACCTGGATCCATCTGTCTGTACCCCCCATTGCTCTTTCACTTTCAAAGATTGTCTGGCTCTTTTGATAGAGGCATATCAAAGAGGGGGTGGGAGTGTTCACCACCAAGGGAGGGTCAGGATGGACGAGGATTGCTTTCACCAGAGCCTCTAGATGTCAAAAAGATTATGAAAGTGACAGTTCGGAAGGCGAGGAATCAGCTTTGTGATTTGTGGCCCTAGAAAAAGCTCTTAAACCTTTAAGATCTTGATGGGATTTTACATGAAAACTGCAAGGACTTTCCTTTTGCTTGTACGTCTCGAAATATCCCATCCCTTTGCTAGGCTTGGTCTTGCAACTTGTTGGCTAGAGGAAACTCCATAGAAGATGAAAGGGGCTTGTGCTCGGCTGATAGGGTCATAGCCGTGGGCAGGATGCTGCGGGGGGGGAGTGCTGCCATTGCCAGGGCAGCTAAAGAGGAATCTCCCTCAGGAATGAAGTTAATCTTTGAAACTTTGCAGCAAGATAAATCTCCTTTCAAAAGGTTAAAAACTATCAGCACACTTCCTTCTCACTGGGACTCAATCCCATAGCAAGCTTGTGTCGGGAAAGCTTGGGGCACTTGAGGGTGAACCAATCCAAAGGCAAACGTTTGAGGGTTTGCTTCTGTAATGAAAACGATGCAAACAGATGTTAAGACTGTGTAGGATTAGAAGAGGAATGGAGGACTAAAAGCAGCCCCTTTGTCATTAGACCAGTGTTTTGCAATCACAGGCTACCTAGTGATTGAGTTGAATCTAGAGGAGCCGCAAGAACATTCACACTTTGCCCCCATTCCTGGCGGTGAGCCCCCTCAAAAGCCATTATCCACCTTTAAACAGGTTTGAAAATGTTCAAGATCTGAGAGAAAGAGATGAGGAGAAGGCAAGAACATCTGAGCATCTTGCTGCTTTCTTTTCCCTGGTTTATTCTTTTTCCAAAATAAATAATTCTTGGTTGGCTGAGACCAAATAGTCCCAGGAATTTTGTTTTCCCATCTGTGTAATAAGCCTCTGCAAATAGAAGTTGTGCTTGCCTGATCTTCTCTATTTATCACTCCACTAACCAAATCTCCAACTCTGGGTGGTTTCCTACAAATTTTCTGGTGCCAGAGCACAGTGTTGTGGAGCAGGTGGGGAGGAGAGAGTGACTGATAAAAATCTGTACCTTATCATTGCTTTTCCTTGTTGAAGTTTTCTCAGAGTAAGCTGTTCTTAACTTATTATTCTTGATTTCATCACAAGTCATCTGTAGTACGGCTGTACTTAAAAAAATACAGGATGCTTTTGGAAACTCCAACTGATGTAAGAAAGGGGTCTTTTTTACAAGATTTAGATAATGCCTTGAAAGCGTTTCAGACATGGAATGGGAAGATGCCACAGGACATGGGTGGTGTTGATGGACTGCATCCTTTCTCCTGGAAGAGAATTTCAGAGTTGATTTACTGGTCTTTTGTATTCCAGGTCTTTCCAATGGTCCTGAAGCAATGGAAGTAGATGGTCTCCAGGAAGTCCCCCTCTGTAGCTGTCGAATGGAAACCCCCAAGAGCAGAGAGATCACCACGCTAGCCAACAACCAGTGCATGGCCACGGAGAGTGTGGATAATGAGGTAGGAGCCTGTCTTACAGCTTCTTGCAGACTTTTCTGCTGAGGACAAAGACATAAAGAATAAAAAGCTGCGTCAGGAACATGTGTTGGGTCAATCAAGGGCTCTGCGGTCTGCTAGAGTGGGAACCCACTGGTATGCAGGAACGGCAGGGCAAACATCTTGCTCGCTAGACTGAGGTCTCCAGCATTCTGCATGTATTGTACAGTTGGGTTGAAGCCACTCGGAAGGGAGGAGGTGGCGCGGTCTGCAATTGGAGAGGCGCTGGGTGGATCTCTGCTGCTTGTCCTGGCCTGTGTTGATCAAGTTGATCAAGTTGATATAACAGAGACACTTCAGCCAAATGGGCTCAAATACATTAACATGCATCAAAGTGAGAAAATCCAATCAGAGGAAGCTTGGAGCTGCTTTCCCTTGACTACGAAGGAGCTGATACAAACCTTTCCGTAGCCGCCTCTTGAGTTTCGGGAACTTGGCATGCCCTCCGCCGGCTCAGTCTGCCCCAGCCTTCCTCTCTCCTCCTCCCCCAAGAGGCTTCTGTTACAAAGCTTCCTATGTCCTGGCAACCCTGTCCAGCCTCCAGGTCTGGCTGACTGAAAATGGTTGCGCTCGTTGCCTTTCAGTCGATCGCAGCTGGGCTAGTTGGGCTGTACTGGTTCCAGAAGGGTGGAAGTAAGTGGCAGAAGTGACTCTCTCCCAGAGTCTGGAAAGTGAGACTGCAGAACGAGAACACGCTTGGTAGTTTCTCCTTGTACTGGGAGACCGTTGGGTTTCATTTAAGCTTCAGCTGAGCCACAGTCTCACTGCAGTGCTCTGGTACTTGCCGGTGGTAGGACAAGGAGTGAGACTATCCCTAGTTCTCCTGTAGGATCGCAGGAGAAGGGTGGATGGAGGGAGAAAGGGATAATTGGATCTGCAGCCCAGCTCTGCTTCTGTTAGTATGTGCTGGTACCTAGAGAGAAAGGGATTTCCAAAGCATGGCAAAATTGTTGCATTAAAGAGAGAATGTCCTGGAAACTTGTAGGAGAGAGGGGGACCCTAGGGTTTCTAAAGAAACAAAAGGTATATGGAAGAGTTACTTCTCATGTATATGGTGGTTTGACAGTTCTGTCCCTGGATAAATCAGAGAGGGAATAGCAGGGGCCATGCTTTATGTTAGGTTCTTTTTCATAATGGGATAAGTGACTCATAGATGTTACAAGAATATTATATGTGTGAATAGTGGGTTTTCCAGACTGTCATGTCCTTGGAGAACGCTATAAATAGTTCTGAGCATCCTGCTGCACTCTCTAATGATTGGAAAATAGCGATTAATCATTTCATACTTTTTTTAGAGTTTCTAACAAATAATATAGTGTGACATAATAATGCAGGGACTTCCTGACACAGACAGCGCAGCTTTTCACGTGTTAATCAAATTTCCTCAGCTCGTAAGTGAAAATCTGTGCAATGGTCCTCTCCTGGCACCCCTGCAGCCCCTGGGGTCTGTGTGTTAACGGCGATCAGTCCAACCAAGGTGTCACAACCACAGGTAGACTTTGCAGCTGGAATTTGGATAAGTTTGGATGCATTTGGATAAATTTTTGAATCAGAGACGCTAGGGGTGAATGATGAGCCTAGGTTGAAATCCATTCTCTTTTTCAGTAGGGGTGCTGATCCTGCAGAGGAGGTGGAGTTAAAAAAAGTTAGAAAGTCTAGTTTTGTTGAGAAAAAGCAGCAAATCAAACCTCAGCTAGACCAGCGGGACAGTCTGTGGGTGATGAGCAGGCACCATGTTCCTGACTGACTCCTCTGCTCATGGTGGCAGCGCACAGTAAACCATGCGCAGATTTCGTTAGGGATGTTTCCTTGTAGCAGCCTTTCATGTTTCTGTTTCTAATTTATAAATGTCCTTTGCCAAGCATCTGGGGAAAGGAAGGTTGTTATCAAGAGGAACTCACAGAACCCTGTGTCATGGTAGCAGGTGGCAACTGGGATGTGAAAATGTCGTAGATGTATGAATGGGGGCAGCAGAAGGAAGTGCTGATCCTTCTGACGCAGCAGAGCAAGTTACACTGGTTGGGAAAAATGAACCCCAATTACGGAGCCTACGGAGCCTGCTGCCGTTAACAGAACAAGGTGGTGCATGAGAAGACAGCTTTTTAAGCCCAGAGTTGTACATTGGTGAAATCCTTCGGAAAACATGCTCAAAATGTGACTTCAGCTGAGCTCTTGTGAAAGCCTGGCTGTTCATCCCTGTGGTCTGGGCAGGGGCCAGTGCTGGAACCAGTACAGACGATAACTTCGCTGGCAATAAAGAGCAATTATTTTTCCCTTTATCTTCCTGTGACTTATACTTTTGAACAGTAACAAGATTTAGTGCGTATAGTCTTGTTCTCTTGGTCACCGACACCCGCTCTTTTTTTCCTGGCAGAAGGAGAGCATATGTTGTGTGAGTCAGGCCCATGGGACTGCCCCTTCTGCCGCTGCTTGGCTGTTGCGTATTTCCAGTTATAATTTTTTTTTTTTTTTCCTTTGCAAGGAACAAACGACTCAGGGTCCACATGCATGTTAGTTAGTAAATGATGCATTTCTTCCTGTGAGAGCAGCTTTCACAGCTTCCTGCTGCACTGCTAATGCTATCTGGCACACATCTGAATTACAGTGAAAAAGCCAGTGCTCGTCAAGGCAGTGTGCAAAATCTTCCTCCGCACAAGCACAGAGAGTGTTTTGGTCTCCAGTAATTTCATTTCCTTTAATTTCTCCTGTTCCAGCTGGGCCGATGCACAAACAGTGTGGTTAAGTATGAACTGATGCGCCCGTCTAACAAAGTCCAGCTTTTGGTGCTGTGTGAGGACCATAGAGGGAGGATGGTGAAACACCAGTGTTGCCCTGGCTGTGGATACTTTTGCACTGCAGTAAGTCCGTGCTCTCAATCTAGGGAAGGGGGTACCTGTCGCAGTAGCTGGAAGAGCTGAAGGTGGAGATGGTACCTAAAGGGGTTTACTGACTCCCTGGCATCAGCTCCACCTTGTTCCACAGCACGTCAGGTGGTGTTTTCAAGAGGAATGTGTGTGAGGGTAGCTGCAATCGTCACCTTTATCTTCCTGGAGACCCCAAGGGGTGTTACTGAAGGGTTTTCACTGGGATTTCACACAGTGGAAGTCTTGCCTTAGGAATTTCTTTGGAACAAGGGTTGTGGTTTTTTTTTTTCTTTCTCTGTACAGATCAATCATATCAAAAATTACATTAGCTTGGTTTGTAAATGGAATCTATGTACACACGTCTCTGTCCCCCCACCTGCTCATGACGGTTTAGATGGGGAGCCTGAATGATGGCACTGGAACAAGGCAGTGTTTGAGATCTCCTGCTGCTTCTTCCACCTCTGCCACCAAGGCTTTTAATAGCGTTGGTCCAGTCTTTTAAGTCGTCAGCGTCCTAGTTTCCCTGTTGGTAAAGCTGAAAAACACCAGTTGAGGGCCTCACGGGGTGATGAGGAGGCTTGATTGTCTGATGCTAGTGTTCTTCAAGATGACTCAATGAAAGATGCTACAGTAGTCTCCAGCATTATTGTAATAAATGGAGCCATCCTGGGTGTTCATGCTGAGTCGAAGATCCTTTAAAAGATAAAATCCTCAAAACCCTTAAAGGCATTTTGCAAAACTGAAGTAGAGTTAATTAGATTGCTTAGGAGGACTGTGAATTCAGGAGAAGAGTGAGTTTTCACCAGCCTTTCCTTACATGCTCATATGTCTCTCAGTGACATGTTCCCGCTCACACAGGTGAACCTGGGAGTGTTTGTCTGTGCTATCCATCGCTAGTAACGCAGAGCACAGTAGGTCTTCAGGTAGCACTTACATCCCAGGGCAATGAATTCTAGGGTACCTTCAGTTCAGTTTGAAGGACTTTGCTGGAAAGAGAAAACAATTTTAAGAAAAGTTGCCCAAGTTTGTTGAATGAGCAGTCAACCACGTTATTGGGGTTAAACAAGATACAGAGCTGGTCCAAGCAGAGAAGTCGCATACTTTAGGTTATGTCAGGGTTAACAGGTGATTTAATTATATTCATGTAGGTCCTTGGATGGTTTGTGCGCAGCTTTGTTAGGTAGTTTTAATGCTGGCTCAGCACAAAGGTCTGAAGTTTTCTTTTCCAGTTTTGGGGGCGTCCTTACAGTACGCTGGCACTTCTGGAAACATAAGCAAGAACTTCAAGCGTTAGAAGAAAGAGCTGGAAATTGGGACTTCTTGGTTGTGTTTCCCAAGCACAATTAAAAAACTTGCTTTGCAGTCCCTAACCAAGTGAATTTTTTCCCTGTTACCTTGGTTTTGTTCTCTTCTAAAGAAGTGACAGTGCTTGCTTACTGTATTGGAAGCGCCAGGGACAAGAGTGGTGACGAATGAAGTATTTAAGAGATCTGCGGATGAAGCATGTAAAAGGGGTAAGGTACGTAGTGACCAAGGTGTGAATTTCTTCTATGTGGTTTTTTTAGGGCACTTTCATGGAGTGTCAGCCGGAGAGCAGCATCTCCCACCGTTTCCACAAGAACTGTGCCTCCCAGGTCAACGACATGAGCTACTGCCCACACTGCGGGGAAGAAGCCTCCAAGGCAAAGGAGGTGACAATAGCAAAAGCAGACACAACCTCGACGGTGTCGCTGACCTACGAGCAGCAGAAACCAACGGCTGTGGAGGGAAGGGCTGACACCACGACGGGGAGGTGAGCTTGGGAGCCTGTGGTGATCTCAAACCTCATGCCAGACTGTGCTTTGCATTTGAATACTTGTGCTCCTCCTGATGGAGCAACGTGCTCTCTGGTCCTGCTCTGACAAACCAAAGTCAGCTGCAGGAGTCTGCAAGTGTGTTTTGTGTTGCTCGCTGTGTTGGAGAAGAGCACAGCAACTGCTGGGTAAGCTGGGGCAGAGGCTGTGAAGATAGGAGGGGTTCAGGAGTTAAAATTGTTCCTTCATCTTATTGTTAGGAGTGGAATAATAGTGGAACAAGTTGATGTTGCCAGGTCTGCTAAGTGACAGGGAGGTTCATGCAGTACCTAGCTGTAGCTCCTGACTTGCACCAATGGGGACAAGTACAAAGAGAGGATGAAAACGCGGAGGAAAATACGAATCAAGCCATCCCTGCGTTGAACAGTGCTCTGGCTTCCTGTCCAATTCTAGTGGCTTGACCCATGTTCCTGGGCTCCCTGTAGCACAGAGTACCTCAAAATGTAATCATGGGGCAGTGCAGCTCCTTTTTGGGGCAAGTTCTTAGCAAAAAGGCTGTAAAATATACTGGTCTGTGTTTTGATTTCACTTACACTTACCTGTATTTCAAATCCATTTCCTTTCCTTCTTTGGCATAAGATATGCACCGTTTTGTATTTTTAATGCTTGTGCTTTGGCTGTCTCTCATTTTTTCTCCAGTGGCAGTGGGACGCGGTTGTCAGAGGAAGACAAGCCAGAAAGTTCGGCTGCTGAGGGGTTTGACATGGCTGGGTCTTCAGTTTTTCCAAAGCCTACTACTAGCCTGACCCAGGGACCAGTTAAAGAAACTCTGGAAAGTGCCCTGATTGCCCTGGACTCTGAAAAGTAAGAAAAAGATTGCTGGGTCTCTCCAGTTCCCAGCAAAGTTGCTTAACCTAAAGAAAACTGAGATTTAGCTTCTCTGGATTTTGGCCTCACTCAGACCTTTTTTTGTTTACTTCCATCATTTGTCACCCTCAACAGATGACTGATTCAGGAGAGCAGTTACAGCTGCAAATGTCTTATGGATTTGTCTGGAGGATTTAGTTTTTCACTGGCCCCACAACCGCAGCTGTAACTACTAGGACTTCCCGTTCACAGTAGTAAGACCCAGAATTTGTTGACAAGTGGCACTGAATAGATACGGCCCTCGTTAGAACAAGACTGTCTGTGGTTGGAGCTGGAAGTTTTAAGACCTCCTCTTGGAGACTTGTTGTTCGTGTGTTGTGCTGGCTCTCGGGAGCTGTACCACAGGAACAGACTTTGTTATGCGTAAGGGGTAGCAGTGGGGTGGCTTGAAATACCAGGAGTGTTCTTCAATGAGTATTAATTATGCCTCTTTTCCCCACTTCTGCAGACCCAAGAAGTTACGATTCCATCCAAAGCAGTTGTACTTCTCTGCAAGGCAAGGAGAACTGCAAAAAGTCCTGCTTATGTTGGGTAGGTGGCTTCTTCCCAGGACATTGCGTGTCTGGCTGTACTCCCAGCTCCTGCCAGGCAGCTGCCAGAGTCCAGTTCCCAGCATGGCAACACGTCATATTCCCCATTGCCCCTTGTGAGTGGAGTTGGAGGAGAAAGCCACTTCTGCAAGTGATGTGTCATTGGAAATGGCTTCATCTTTCTGTGAAATGTGGACCTGCTCCCAGCTTGTTTCTGCATTTGGGCACGGTTTTATCCAGAGAAGCTGTTTCTGCCCCCAAATGTCCTACACGTGATTTTTCCAGTCTGACAGAACTTTTTCTCTCCATGCAATGGGATAGTTAGGTATTTGCATCCAGTAGAGAGGTAATAAAAAGATGGCAGTCAGATTAAGCTGAGACCCATCAGCAAGAGAGCAGAACGGAAGAGCCCTTCAATACACGAGGTTTGTTTTGGGGGTACGTAGTTGTCTGTCACCAGTGACTTTGAGCTGCTGAACTTGTTTGTACCAACAAATATTCCCAAGGAATCTCCCCCTTTGAAGTACACAATGTTTCCTTGGGATCATTTCCTTTGCGTGCCAGTACTTTGCAGTACATTTTTGGATGCTTTCTGTTCTTTTAATTTATCAGATTCTTCTTTTTCATCTAGCAAGTGTTAGGTTCATTGTTCGTGTCTTCAATAGCACAAAGATGTTATTCACTGATATTTAACTATGGCCTCGTCATATGCAACATGTTATCATGCCCAGACATCTTTGGCTGTCATCATTATCTGTCAGTCTTTGCACAGCTGTGAGAATCTCTGGCCAGATCACAAGCTTGTATTAGTTGAAGAAGCTCCATCCACTTTGTAGTCCTGTGTTTGCAGGGATGCAACAAAGATCGCTAATGTTAATCGCAGTTAATAGTGGTGAGACAAAAAGGCCAAGTAGTACTGACTGTTGTTTCCAACTTCTGTGTTGCTTTAAACAAAGCAGCTTTTTTTTTTTTCTTTTTATCCTTGTATGGTGTTTGTTGGTTTTGTTGCACTGAGATAGTGAATTGTGAATCTGAGGGGCATGGCCTATGTAGAAATTGTAATGCCTTAAAGGTATTGAGTTCCATGGGGTTTCTGAAGCTCTTGGTTTGAGGGCTGTTGCGTATTGAATGTCCATGGGACTACCCTGAGAGCTTTCTGACTTGAATGTGTAGTGAGTCATGAGAAGGGCAGAGGATGGGCTGGGAACCCGTTCTTTAAAAGCCTTTAGATGAGACCTGGTTTTCCTGTTACACTTTTCTCTAATCTCTGAATTGTGGTTGAAAGCATCTCTGCTGTTTTTCAGTGGATGGAATTGACCCTAATTTTAAAATGGAGCATCAGAATAAGAGAACCCCTCTCCATGCTGCTGCTGAGTCTGGCCACGTGGACATCTGCCATATGCTGATTCAGGTCTGTCTCCACTTATGTCCTTCTGTACAAGCAATTTTCTGTGGTTTTTTGGTTTTCTACCCCACGTGGCTAAAACGCACTCGGAAATCAGCACTGAAACATCCCTCCTACAAAAAAACTCCTTGTTCTCAGGGTTTACTAAGGGAAGAGTGATGGAGAGTAACGTGAGGTCTTAGAGGACACGACTGAAGCTGTCTTTCTAGGCTGTTCTCCAAGCAAGCTTCACTCTCTGAGCAATAAGCATGTAAAGCTTTGATGTAGGGCACTGTGGAGCATAGGGGAACCTGTATGCCTAAGCACACCCAGCAAAGCAGTGCACTGCCAGATGTGCCAGGGCTGTCTGACCGCTGGCAGACTGCAGGTGATCTGCAAGCTGCTGCCAAGTTGCTCTTTGTAATGAAGGCAGGTAGGCTCTGGAGCCTGGAAGCTAGCAGACCTTGCCTTGCCTTCGGTCAAAACCTGAGTAACTCCAGCAGGATTTTCCTCTACAGTGTAAATGTTCCACATGTGAAAAGGAGAGAAGGAATGATGCAAGTTTGGCTTATTGTCTGAGATTTGGATTCTAATTGAGGGAAGATGGTCAAAGACATAGGGGTGCTCTCATTGAACCCGCACCAAAATGATGTGAAGAAAAAAAGGAGGATTTAAAAAGTTACCGTTTTTCTTTTTTGTACTGGCATTCATCATCTGGAGTGACGGGAAGTATGTTTTGTTTAGCCTGGGTGACTGGGAAACGTTAAAGGGCTTTTGAAAAGCAGCAATACCGTGTCTTTGAGAATGAGCCTGCTGGGATGTTAGATTTCAGCATCTGGAGCCAGAGGCTTTCGAAGTGCTGTTTGAAGATGCAGCTATGGGCCTACCCTGCTGCTCTCCCTTGAGTTACTGCACGTGAAGACAACAGAATGACTCATTTGAGTAGAAGGAGCAAAATTTGCAAGATGTTACGAACAATTTGAATTGAGTATCGATAGGGTTGGTTTGTTTCCAAAATCCTTCATCTTCTTGTCTCTTCCCTGATGTCTGGCTACTACAGTAGCACAGTATTTGGCTGGGAATGTCCCCAGCTTGTTAAACTCGAAATGCCTCTTCTCTGGTCTGATTTAAATAGCTCTAGCTATTTGAAAGTTATCAAAACAAATGCATTCAGTGGGAGGCAACTGGAAGAATGGGGACAACTTCTTGTACCAGGTGAACCTGAGTCAGCATGATGCTGCTGTAAACAGACTTGTGCTTCACACGTGTATATGCATGCGTGGCCTGCCAAGAGTTGTGCTGTCTCTGCCGTTTTCTTCTGGCTTTGAGTGGGTTACTGAGCTAAGCCAAAGAGTTAAAGCAGGCAAGATACACATGATACAGTAGTATTTTGGAAAAGAGTAAGATTTTGGTCCAAGGCACTCCATGTTGAACTGAGCATATGCTCAGAGAACTCCGTAGAAATGTCACTGACTTCAACAGGAAAAGTTAGCCGATCTGCAGGATTTTTTTTGCAGCATTGTTAGCCAATCTTCAGGATTTTTTCCTACTTCCGTTGCAGTCAACAAGTTGTTCCTACTGCTTGTGACATTGGGAAGAGATGGTTGTTTTGTTCATTGTGTCCGTAGAAACGATAGGCCAGGGAAAACAAAGCTGCTGGAAAAAGGAGGCTGATTTTTCTGAATTGTTACACAAACAATATCTAGAAAGTAACAGTACAAAATCCATTAATAACAAGAGTTATTTAATACCAGCTGTTGGCTTCCTTATGCCCTGGTTACTGGCTGTAGAAGGCAGGAGAGAGGGCAGGCAATGTGTGCTGCTTTCCTAAACAGGTGAAGTTGGACTGCACTGCCCTCTTTCCTGTTTTTATTTTTTTTCCACCCCCCTGCTTAATATGGCTAAATTTCAGGAAGAAAATCGCTACTAAATCTCTACTCCCACATCCTTCCTCTGCTAACCACTAATGATTATAACTGTCCTTGTATTTGCCTTGGCCTCTTCACAGGCTGGTGCTAATATAGACACCTGCTCTGAAGACCAGAGGACCCCACTGATGGAAGCAGCAGAAAACAACCATCTGGAAACTGTGAAATACCTTATCAAGGCTGGAGCACTAGTAGATCCTAAGGTAGAAGTTTATTTCTTATCTTTTTCTCCTGAAGAAGCCTCTGTCCACCATTTCTTTCTCGATAGGTTTTAAGTCTTGGGTGGAAGTGCGCAGGCAGAGGAGAAATGGCCTTGCTTGTCTTGGGCATGAAGGCTTGGCAAGGCTGTAGTTGTCGGTCATATCATTTTAATGGTGCAGTGTCCTGGCTGTGAGCAGTTTGGGGCAAGTGTTTCCACTTGCTACATTGGTTTGTGGCACCAAATGTGGAGGGTATTTGATTTCATATGGAGCCACTAAGTATTAGTGTCACAAATCCATTGCAGTGAATTTGGAGTTTGATTTCAGAGTTTCCTTCTCTATAGACTCTAATAATGAGAATTTTGGGGTGACATCTTAAAATAGGCTGGTAATTAGGTGCTTGCCAAGCCAGCACAAATGACAGAGGAAGCTTTGCTTTCCAAAGGACTGATGTGTGGTTTCTTGCAGTCACGCTGCAGTGGCAAAATTGCACCCCATCTTTAAACTCTACCCTTTAATTTAGACAAATACAATAAAATGCAGCTGTCTGTTTGCCTTTAGCATGCTCTGGTTGCTTTGCAATCTTGGAAAATAGACAGATCATTTATTAGTCCCATAAATCAGATGCTATTTGGAGCACAGGAACCCTCCCCATGTGACTTTCTTATTGTTACAACCTGCTGCTGTTGATGCACTCCCCTGCTATTGCTGGGGAGTACGGCAGGGCCGGGATGCTCTTTTCACGAAGGAGCTGGCAGGGCCAGGAGCATTGCAGAAGATCCCAACTGCTGCCCACCCCTAGCCTTAAATGGCTCCTTGGAAACCTGATTCTGAGCTGAGAAGGGGGAAAGGACAGGAGAGGCACATGTGGGTTCATGCTGGCCACTGTCCCAAGTGTCTTGGAGCCATTCAGACATCTCTCACCTGATTTATTCTGTGGAAGAGAAAAGAGGGGTTTTTTTACTTCTAAAGGTAAAGGGGAGGAAGAAATCCTGAGCTTGCAAAAGCAAATTAGAAGCCTGAGAGCACGTCTGAAGTCTAGACTAGTTTATTATGTTAATTGGTTTCTTGCACCAAATTAGTCATCTTTTTGAAAGCAGCAACATTACAGTTTAAAATCAACTCCAACCATTTCGATGAGAAATCCGGACATTGACTGTGTGTGCCGAGCTGGCCCGGCCCAGCCCTGCAGGACTGCAGGGTGGGGGTTGCTGAAGACAGTGGTGGGGTGTGTGGGGGCTTCTCAGACCCCAAGGAGAAGCTATTGGTCCTGTTAATAGGACATAAAAGCCCCATGCAAAGACTGCAGAGACTTTATATTAAAATATATCTGCCCTTGATATGAGGGCTGCACTTGGCTCATGCTAATCTAAGGGGAAAGCTGTGGCTTTAGTCAGATGTGGCAGGCACTTATGGGGGTGTCGAAACCCCTTCTTTACCCCAAGAAGCCCACACAGTGCAATCCCTGACCCAAGATGTCCCATCCTTGCTCGGGTGGTTGCTCCCTAGCCCTGCACCATGCTCTCCACTCGGCCCCATCTGAAACCTCTCTCGCCTCCAGTGTTGCGTCTAGGGGCTTAGCTGGAAGGAGTCATTTTGGTTTTCAGTCTTTCATTTCCTCCTCCTTATTTCCTGGTCTCTGGGCCTTACTATGTACTAAGCCCTTGGGATATAAACGCCTGATAAAAATCAGGCTCCAGCCCCGAGATCTTTGGTGTTAATGTGGGAGTGTTTCCATCATGACTCATAGCCTGTCCATCTCCAGCAGACCCTGTATTCTCAGCTCCCAAAGGCATTTTTCCTTGCAACCTTCAGGGTTGTTTTTTATCTCCTATCTGGGCAGATGGCTTGGTCTCTTGAAAGCCTTCTAGCCCCTAGGGCAGGACACCCCTTTGCCCTGCTGCCAGGTGCTGGGATAAGTCTTTGTGCTAATAAAACACAGAAAAAAGCCTGAATAAATGGAGTATTTCAGGTTGAGTCAAGGCTGCTTTTCTGATGTAAAATGCAAGCTCTGCCTCTGTAAGTGATTTCTGCCTGCCTTTGGCTCTCCAGCACATGGAGAAGAGTTGGAGACGGTTTGTTGGGGAAGGGGAGTGTCAATCTGCCAGGGTTTGGGGCTGGTACCTTCCCTAGGCTTTGCAAAGGCATCCCTTCCCATTTGCACTCTCAGCCTCCTACTCTGCATGGGTTGCACCTCTGAGCTTTGAGTAAACCTCCCTCTACTCAGTGCTGGCGTTGGTTCTGTCTCTCTCCCCTCCTGGCAACATGCTGGGGGCTTTTGGTGTCCTCTACTCCTTCTGTAAACTTCTCTGGTGTTCCTAAGCATCACTGGTGTCGTGCAGACATTGGAAACACTGGGAAGGGATGTCCCCTGAGTGCTTGTTCTGTGGTTGTGTCCAGGATGCGGAGGGCTCCACATGTCTGCACTTGGCTGCCAAGAAGGGGCACTATGACGTTGTTCAGTACCTCCTCTCCAACGGGAAGATGGATGTCAACTGCCAGGTGAGGCTTTTCTGCGAGGGGCAGAAGCTGCTTTTCTCAGGTCAGGGACCCAAGTCTCAGCAACATGATGTCTGTGTGGTGGTTACTCAAATACAGTGCTACTGCTGGGAGGCACCTGAAAAACATTGTAGGGCAGCAATGCTATGGGCATCCTGGTCTGCTGGAGAAGGCAATCCCCTCCAATGACCTCATGGAAACTTTCCTTCCATGTGCCTTGATTTGGAGTTGCTCCTTGACCCTGAATTTGCTGATGGAGCCTGTTGCTGAAGGATGTCACTGCGCTTCTCCTAGCAGGGGGGATGGTGGGATCGTGGACGTGCTGTGGCATGGGTTGAGCTTGACACTTGCCATCACAGAGCTTATCCATTGCTGTGGGGTGAGGCAGTGCTGCATTGGGGTTCCTCGTTCTGGGGAAAGGCCAGATCCCCCAGGCTTCTCAAGAAGCTTTTGTAAGAGCTTTTACACGAACTGGATGTTTGTTGTGCCTTTTGGACAGTCAACTGTATTTGAATGACCTGGAGATCCATTGCCAGTGTGCTGAGCTGCAAATAAACTCCAGCCTGCTGAGCCGTGTTGGTTCAAATCACACTGGGCTCTGCAGCACCCTGAGGTGCAGCAGAGCAGCGTAGACCGAAGGAGAATGATGAGACAGATGTGGGGAAGGAAGGGATCTGTGGCTCCCAGGCAAGGTGCGAAGCCAGCAGGAGACCATCTGGCCCGTTCTGCGTGTCTCACCCTTTCTTTTCCCTCCTCAGGATGACGGAGGCTGGACACCGATGATATGGGCCACCGAGTACAAGCATATTGAACTGGTGAAGCTGCTGCTTGCGAAGGGGTCGGACATCAACATCCGCGACAATGTAAGGGTCTTCCTAGAATCCGTTTCAGAAATTAACCACAATCTCTGTTTAAAAACCAAACAAGCCCGAGGAGGTAGATTTTGGGCTCAGTGCAGGGAAGTGCAGTGGTCCCTTGACACAGGTAGTTTGGGGCAGTGAGTGAACAGCGTCTGGTGGGAGAATTTTCCTCCATATTCTAGGAAGAAGTCTGTAAGCTGGCAAGAAGTCCTTTTCCTCCAGCTCTTCTGACATAGCCCATGAGCACGCTGTACGTAATGCTGCGGGCTGTAGTCGGCTCTGTGCCTTGCTGCTTCTAATCCACCTGAGTCCACCGTGGTGTCACTTGGATGCTGCACCAGGCAGGTCCCCTTTGAGTCCAAACTTAGCAGCTCCACGTTGGTCACAGGCCAGTGTACACTGGGCATGGGTTAGGGTTAGGGGCATCCTCTGTGCCTTTTCAGGGGCGTGAGCTTGTATTTGTGTTTTCTGGATGGATTGGGCAGACTCTCTGCCACCAAGCATCACAAGCCTGGCTTTCCCTAGGCATAACAGGCACATAGCCACCAATATGGACAGAGTGTGCCCAGGCTGACGGCTCGGTGTGCTGGAGCTGGCTCTTGGCCTGCTTTTCACTTCCGTAAATCCTGCTCGAGTGGGATGTACTCTGCACTTGAGTCCCTGGGGTCTCCATGGGCCCGGCAGTGCTGCATGTTGGGCTGTGCCAGCCGGTTTCACAGGGATTTTCAAGTAAACAGCGAAGATACAAGGGAAATGTCTCCTTTTTTCCCCAGTCATCCAAGTTTCTATTCAGAAGACTCCTTATGTCAGCACTGCTCCTCTTCTTTTTTGCTTACTAGTATGTTTCTCACTTTTTCCTTTCTGTCTCTAAGGATATTGAAACTCCAGAAGTACCTGCAAGGCAGGCTTGGGTGTGAACCGGGGTGCGATGAGCTACTCCAGACTTTGGCCTGTAAATGTGAGATAGTTTGATAAATGAAAAGTAACTGGCTTCACTGCTTTCTGCACAGAGTTGTTACAGTGAAGTACCAACCCCACCATCAGTTCACACTCTAGCATGCCTCATGGCAGTGTATTTTCTTGTCCAAGGGCTATAAGCAGCTGGTTTATATTTGTCTCCCTAAATGCCTTGTTTTGTGTCTTGGGTGCTAGCAAGGGTAGGTGTTGGCACATTTGTCTCATGGGGCTCAGAAAGGTTCCGGCTGTTCCCAAGGCGTCACCATCCCCAATCTGAAAGTCCCTTCTCGGTAGGAGCCTCTATTTCCTTGGTAGCTTAGATAGTTCCCAGGCAGGTCTGGATCTGATACTGTTCCTAAAAGCGTAAGTCAAGGCAAGAGAGGGGGCTTTTTGGGTTGTTGCATTGCTTCAGAGCCCTAGTGCTGACTCTGAGCAAAACTGACTTGTTTGATCTGTCGCAGAAGCCTTTTGGCTACCAATTACATGATCACACATTAAATGATGAAAATCAAATCAACTCAGTCAACAATTTACTTGAAAGAAAAGTACCCTCTTAGCAGATGTACGTATCACATATCCGTTTACTGTACCTACGTTCAGTGTCTCCTGATTGCAGTTGTTAAGAAGCAATGTCACTTGTGCTAGGAAACATCAGACTCCAGGAGAAATGCTTTTGATTGTAATTATGCTGCTGTTAGGCAGTAGCCAATGCAAGGCAAAGTAACGAGTCTAGGTGTCTGTAACCTGTCTGAGCAGCGGCATGTGGTGTGCAATCAACAGGATTAATTTTTTCTGTAGGTTGGTATGTGATATGATTAGGGTTTTTCTCCTAGATGTTACCATAATGGGAGGCAGAAGCTGTATAGAAAAAGGTCTCCCCACTCCCTGGTGTATGTCAGTAGCCTTCCCATTTAAGGAAGGATCTAAGTTAAGTTGCAATGACTAAAAGATGTGCTTGTTATTGCTTTAAAAAAAAAAAGGAGAAAAGCTAGGTGATGATTACTATGATTGCGCTGTTGTAATCGACGTCTTCAGAGCTTGTCATGGGGAAGGGTTCAAAGTGTGCTGCAAACTGCACTGTAACAGAAAACAGAGTATCATCACTTAAAATATCTCCATCAAAAAGATGAGTGTTCAGCTATTTCTAGTTCTGCTAGTGAGAGATGGGTACATACAGTATTTAAGAGATGCCTGAAGTCGGATTGATTGCTTTCCCTGTGGCTCATGGTACGCTTTTGAGCACCATCATATACCCTATAGCTTGTGCTGTGCTCTTTTTCTCTTTAATTTTGTAGCACTGGGAGACATGCTAGCTTTCCTGTCTGTCTGGGCTGGGGAACCTCAGCTTCTAGCCTTTCCAGCTTGTTTGTTCATGTCTGTCACCTCTCTCATGAATTGATCCAGATTGTTTTGTGGCTTAGAGACAGACGATTTGCCTGCATGTCTGAGGAAGGCGATGGACTGCTTTGTGCGCAGCCTCCCCGTCTTTGGTGTGCGGAGGCAGCTGGAGTGAGAACTCCCTGCTTATCTGCGCGGAGATTTCCCTGCCCACCCTGGCAGTCCCAGCCAGAAGGAGCAATGTAGGGAAGGACACCAAAAGCCACACGTTGCATGCTGCAGGTGTAGAGCTAAGGGTGGTGAAGTCCCAAAGCGATAGGGTTTTAATGCACTAAACAGCCTCTTCTCTGTTTTCTTTCCCTCCAGGAGGAAAATATTTGTTTGCACTGGGCTGCTTTTTCTGGCTGTGTTGACATAGCAGAGATACTGCTGGCTGCTAAGTGTGATTTACATGCAGTGAATATTCACGGGGACTCACCCCTGCATATCGCAGCCAGAGAGAACCGCTACGAGTGTGTCGTGTAAGTACAGCTCCAGCCCTGCTGCTTCTCTGATCACTGCTTTCTACCTGGGTGCTGGCTGAGAGCTCAGGAGAGCCTTTGAAATGCCTTTGGCATTTAAGCACAAACCAAAATTGGGATTGAGGGTTTGTTTCTCCATTGCCCTGCTCCTAGGGGCGGTGGATCTGAAATACTAGCTGCTGCCAGAGCTGGTGTAAAAAAGATCAGAAAATGTGGAGTGGTCCTGGAGTCTTGGGTAGAAAGCCTGAGGGGCTGTGCTCAGCCTGGCCTTTGCAGCAGAAAGGCATCAGGCATCCTTGATGAAAAGCTTCGCCCCCCCCCGCCCCCCCCAACTAACATGGCATAATATGGTAACAGGGCTTTTCCTTTCTTTCATCACTGCTATGAATAAAGACATCATGTATACTACTCAAAAGCTGGTGAGTATAAACAAGGACCAAGTCCAATACAAGTTTCCTGTGGGACTCTTCCCATTTCCAGCCTACTCTTCCCACCCCTTATCTTTCCCCAGCAGAGAGAGTTTCAAGCCTATCTGAATTTGGGCTGGTACCAGCAAGGTGCCTGTCATGCCTGAAGCAAGGTGGAGTTTGCTCAGAGCTCTTGTGAGTGCCTAGAGCTCCAGTCTGTGGCTTCTGCCAATGCCTTCACGTAGAAGGATTCACCAAACCATGCTTAATAAAGAAAACTCATGTGATTATAGACTACTACAGATTCTGCCTTGTCCCTTAAGGGGCTGGCTGGAGGATGTGATTCAGCTCATTTTCCCCTTGTGTGGTTTCTCTTGGGGGATGCTTATCCTTTCTTGCTGTTTTGCAGTCTCTTTCTTTCCCGTGGCTCGGATGTCACTTTAAAGAACAAGGAGGGTGAGACTCCACTCCAGTGCTCCAGCCTTAACTCTCAGGTCTGGGTGGCCCTACAGATGAACAAGACTCTCAAAGAATCATCTACTGACAAGCCTGCCCAGATAGAGAAGGTTGTGAGCAGGTGAGAATATGACTGGCTTTGCTTGTGGATCATGAAATAGAGCCTTTGCACGGGGGAGGCTGGGGGCCTGGTTTAGGAAAGAACTATAAGTGCATGCTTAGCTTTTTTAACTGGTGTGAAGGTCAGTTTGAGCTTAGCAAGAACTAAGCACATGCTGATTCAGACCCTCATTTGTAAATTCATCCTCCAAATGCAAATGCTCACAAGCGCAAAGAACAATTTCTAAGGCAGGGTTGAAAAAAAATGAACTCTATTCTAGTCTGAATAGCTTTCAGGCTTTGAATGCTCAGTGATCAAAGACAGTAATTCTGCCCCAGGATGGCATTTGAATGACCCCTTGTTTGGGGGAGGTTTTCTTCTGTGACGATTTTCTTTCTCCCACTGACAGAGACATCGCCCGGGGTTATGAGCGGATCCCAATTCCTTGCGTCAATTCAGTGGACAGCGAGCCTTGTCCTAGCAACTACAAATATGTTTCGCAGAACTGTGTCACCTCCCCGATGGACATTGATAGAAACATCACTCATTTACAGGTGAGGGATCGTGTGTACCCACATGTTTTTTCCTGTCCTAATGTGTGCCTTCAGAGACGTTACAGTGCACTGCACTTCAAATGGGTTTTGCATTCAGAATGGGAATGTCTAGTCCTAATATTGCCATCAAGTGCCAGCTAAGGCAGTAGTCCTAAACTCCAGCTCTTGCTCTAGGAGATGGAATTCTGATTTTCTTTGTTTCCGAGACTTAAGCTAACCTCTGTGTTCAGCTGTGTGCTGTAGCATCAGTCATCTGGTGCTGGCTGCTGTGGCTCCCATTTATCCTTTTCCTCTGTTCTGTATCCGGAGAGTTAGTGAGTTGTGGGGAGACCTTCCTGATGCCGTCTTCGTGCTGACTGCAGAATCCAGGCCAAGGTCTTCATTGTGGTACTGGAAGTCCTTGAAGGGCTGGGTTGTGACAAGCAGAGGTGGGGAAGTGTAGGGTGAGGGTGACCCCTCTCTGGGCACAGCTCTCAGATGGCTGAAGGGAACTTCCCATGCCGAAGCCCTGTTGTGCAGCAGCTGGTGGTGGGACTGTGTTGGCTTGGGGAGTCCTGGGGAAGCAGCCAGCTGGAGCACCCATGTGGGAAGAAGGAAGCGGCAGGAGAGGACTGAGACATCACATTGCATCGTCTCCCAGCTCTGGTCCCTCCTTGGAGCTTTCCTTGTCCACAAGTGTGGAGTACAGCTCATAGGGCATGGAGGAAGGTTAGTAACACAGGGGGACGTCCTCTCATGAGAAGTGAAGATGGCTCAGTATGAGATCCTTTTCTGCAAGCCAGACTCCTTTGACATTCATTGCACACAGAAATAAATGATGGAGTGAAAATGCCACTGAACCGATGAGGCTGGTTATCTTTCTGCCTAACGAGCTGCAGCAGGAGAAGACAGAGACTTGTGGTTTCCTCTTTGACCCAGTCACAGAAGTCGCTCTTTCAGTTACGTGTGAGTGGTGTGGAGTTCACCCTTTTTCTTCTCTTCCAGTATTGCGTATGTATAGACGACTGCTCCTCCAGTAACTGCATGTGTGGCCAACTCAGTATGCGCTGCTGGTATGATAAGGTGAGGACACAGAACCTCCTGTTGGGTTAGAGCAGGGTTTGCGAGCTGAACCTTGCACAGTTCAGGATTTATAATAGTAGCTTAAAAACAGTTCCTTGCACAACTCCTCTACCTTTCGTTTTAAAATGCCTGAAGTTGTAGTCTCAGCTTTGAGATGTAGGTGGTAATAACAAAATGCGTACTCAGGGAAGCTTTTCTAGTGTTATTTATTTGTGTTACTGTCATGCCAACTGAGCCATTAATTATACCCATGTGACAGAGAGCATTTAATAATCCATGCGTGAAATCAGCTTCCGTTTCAGAGCAACGTAGAAAATGCTGTAATATGTAAACGAGGGGAGGGTAGTAGAGAGATTTTTTTGCCTGCTTTTATTTATTATGATCCTTCCGGATGAAGGCAAAGTAAAGGTGTTTTAACTGCAACATTGCCAGAAGCCTGGTTTGTTTTTGGTAAGTATGTTTCAATCCTCCAGGGAGGTTTTGAGGTTAGTATTTGGACAGGTTTTGCTAAGATCATAAGTTCTGTGAATTTGCGAGTTTCTCTTGAGGGAGTATTGGCATCTTTCTTTGCTTTGTAGCCATTTTATTTACACATTAATAGTTGATTACATCTTTCAAGCCTGAAAAGCCAAGTTTGTTAAATATAATGAACTGCGTCTATCGCTTCCTTCCTATATGGTTGGTAAATAATTGAATTGTAGCTTTTTTGGGAGTGTTATTTGGGAAGATAATGTGGTTCACAGAACTTGGGTGTACTGGCCTTGTACTCTGGAAGTTTAGGCTTTATTCCAGAGACAGACTAAGCATCCGCTTCTCCCCTCCAGCACTGCAAAATGATAACGATGATGATGCACACCAGTTTTTTTAAGACCTCTTTTTTGGTGGTGTGTAGGGTGATGCCAGGCAGCAAACGTCTAGATAATCTCTTGCTGTTTGTCAGCTGTGAGTGATAGTGGTGAGTGTGCCACTGTCGGGGTAGAGCAAAACCACTGCAGAAGTTGGGGGCTGATGCTGGTTTTGGGGAGATGGGGACATGCCTCCACCTTGGAGTTCTCTGGCTTGTTTTTACACTTGGGGGAATTTCTTCTGTTGACCACCCTCTGGTTTGGAGGGGTCACAGGAATAGAGAACTAACCCAGTCTTGAATGCCTCTCCTCTTCAGGACGGCCGACTCCTGCCTGAGTTCAACATGGCTGAGCCACCCCTGATCTTTGAGTGTAACCATGCATGCTCGTGTTGGCGAACCTGTAGGAACCGGGTGGTACAGAATGGGCTCAGGTGAGAAGGAGGATCCAAACGCAGCTTGTCTTGGCAAGACCAACACCAAACTCGTGAGCTTTCTGGCCCTCTAGTCTTAGCTCACCCATAAACCCACAAAAACCCAGGACTTCCCAAGATGAGACAGAAGTTGGGGCAGGTGCCACCACACAGTGGTGGGATGCGAGCGGGTTCCTGTGTGCTGCTGGTGGGAATGAAGCAGCAGCAGGTTGATGAGCTCAGTTAATACTTGCACCCTGCCCCTGTCACTGTCAGGTGGGAACTGCGGTGTTCTTTCATCAGCCTGACCATAAAATATATATATGGCTTGTCGGATTGAATGGACAGCCTAGATGTAACTTTTCAGGTGGAGATCTGTGAAGAAAACAACAGCAACAGAAACTGCAAAGCCTTAATTTAGAAGATCTAAGTTACCAGTCTAGATTATAAATATAGGCCAGCATGCCCAGACTTGGCTGCTTAAAATTTCCAAGTTATTGGCATGACTGCTCCTGAATTGGATACCTAAATACCTGTTGGCCTCGGTGCTGCAGGTTAGGCCATTAGGATTTCGGTGGCAGGCCAAAAATGGAAATGATTTGTTTTGGACCTGTGCTATGGAGAAGTTTGCCACTGCACTAAGTTCAAAGGAATCCCACTGGAAAAAAGACTTTTGCAATTTTTTTGTAGTACTGGCAACACTTTTTTGCAAGCTTTGTAGTTTCAATGACATTTTGCAATGTTAAAAATAAGTTAGGAAAAAGCTCAGTGCATTTCCACAGAACTTTACCTCTCTCTGGTTTTCCCTGCCAAGCTCCAGAGCTCCGGTGTCTACGTGGGTGTTTATTTAGGAGCTGTACAGCTAGAGCTGTTGCTTTTGCATTTTTGCCTTGCTAAAGTGTTTTTCTGAAAGATGGGAAGCATTGGAAACCCAACCATGAGCCTGGGGGAGCAGCTGTGTCGGGAAGCTGGCAGTAAGGACAGGTGCTTGGCAGAGCTGTGCTTGAGGTCCCTGGGGAGGCAGCAGAGGAGAGCTCCTGCGTTTGGGCTGCAGCGCGACACATGGGTGCTCCTGCTCCGTTTTCAGTTCTTCCTTTATCAAATTTGCTCCAAATTAACTCCGCTCAGCAGCACACACGTTTCCATCTGGAAGGCTGACCCAGCTAAGCCGGGAAGCTGAGGTCGGAGCTGTGGTCCTGCTGCTGCCGGTGTCGGCCCCGACAGCAGAGCCTGAACCTGAGCTTGGCTCTCTGCTCTGCTGTGATGGACGAGGCAAAACACGCGGGAGCTTCCTCAAACTTGAAGTACAGTGTTATAACTGGTTTCTCTGAGAGTGATCGTTCTCGTGACGTTGTGTTTTGCCCTCGAGAAGGCTTCAGGAGCTGTGATCAAATATGAGAAAATGCACAGCCCCTGATTTGAGCTGACGGTGCAAGGAGGGAATGGGTGGGGGGAAGAGAAGTACTGGGAAAAGCAACAGAGTGAGGTTAAGGTGAGCATCGGATTTCTCCTTATTCCGATAACAGCATTGCTGAGAGTGGGTTTTGGTTCCCGCAGGGACACTGAGCCTTCCCTAGCCCTGGAGATGGTTCATCCTGCACTTAACTCAAGTTCTGGCTGAGCAGGAGGCAGAATGACTTACAGGATTGTTTCTCTGCCTATAAACTCCATCAGTAAAATTCCACAGAGCAGCTATTACACCAAGAAGTTTCAAGTTGCAGCGTTTCTTCCTTGTCTTTCAGCCAGGGAGCTGGATATGATGGAGTTGCTAAATGCACTGGCCTCAGCAGAGGGCAAAGGGATCAGAGCACTTAGTTCAAGGTGTTCTTAATTCACCATAAGCTCCCTGCCTTCCCCCTGCAGTACCCTTCCCTGCAGAGCTACACTGCCTTAAGTCCCCTTCCACCTTCCTTGCCTTCTCTGGAGTGCAGGGTGTGTGCATGGAAGGGAAGAGAAATGCTGGTAGTTGGATTCTGGTATCCTACGTGTAAATCGTCAACAGTGTAACCGCACAGAGCATCCAGCCCCACAACCCCCGGTCCCTAGGTATGCACCTTGCAAGGTGCAACTGGGCCGGGAGAAGGGGTTGATGGGTACCCGTCCCTCTTTGAGTTTGTGGTGATGGAAGATTGCTGGCTTTTTTGTTCGTCTCTCTATGAAAATTTGTTGTCTTTCTGCAGAGTGCTGCCATTAAAGTGGCTTCGTTCCTTCTTTTCTAGGACTCGATTGCAGCTTTATCGGACACAAAAGATGGGCTGGGGTGTGCGAACAATGCAAGACATTCCACTGGGAACCTTTGTGTGCGAGTAAGTTATTCAGCTTTCATTAGCTCATGCAAGTGCATCGCTTCCCGAGGGCCAGGGTGGTTTGCTCCTCTCTAAGGAGAGGTTTTCACGCAAATCAAATTGACATCAAGCCGAGCTGCTTGCCCTCAGTCAGAGGTTTCCTGACTCCATTTCCTGCTCTGTTTGTCCTTTTCCTCATAGTGTGGAGCTTTCTCCACCCCTCTCCATCATGCTGGGATCTGTGCTCAGCTCTCTTACCCGTCTGAAACACAAGTGATGGGGGAAAAATGCATTTGAGTTGTACTCAACTCACGTGATCACCATGGATATGGGACACTTAAGGCCAAGGCAATTTGGAACAACTTTTTGTATCAGATCTTTTTCTGTTTCAATACGGACTTCTAAAGAGGTTTTCCAGTGTCACAGCTCTGGCTTTAGTCTGATACAGCAAAACAGTAAAGCACTTGGCGTTAAGAACATATTTCGGCCCTGATTCAATAAAGTACTTAAGAACAGAAATGTTCAGATTTACGTCAAGTGAAAAAACTGCCATCGAACCCCATGGTTTTTAGGCTTTAAAGTGGTACCTTATTAAATATTTTGGAAAGTGTTTTCTTCATTACAATACTACAATGAGTTAAGACCTTCTGAGTAAGGTTGGACTTGTGCCCTTCATGGAAATAGGTGCTGGGGTTTTTTAGAACTGGTTATTGATGTTTTATAGAATTGGAGTGGGGGTTTGGGGAAGATTATTGCAGAATTTAAAAAAAAAAAAAAAGGAAAAGATAAATCTGCAGTGAATTGGCCAAATATTTCTTCTGTGTTAGGAGCAGCCACGTGATAAAATGTTTTTTCAGAGGTAAAGCTTAAAACTGCTGTTTGTGGGGAGTGTCTCAAGTCTGTCTTCAGGTGGGGCTTTCTGTAAGTACTAAAGGTCCCTGTGCTGTAGTGTGCTGGTTTTGGCTGGGGCAGAGTTACTTTTCTTCACAGTAGCTGGTATGGGGCTGTGGTTTGGATTTGTGACCCAAACAGTGCTGATAACCCAGGGATGTTTTCGTTACTGCTGAGCAGGGCTTGCACAGAGCCAAGGCCTTTTCTGCTCCTCACCCCACCCCACCAGCGAGGAGGCTGGGGGGGGGCACAAGGAGTTGGGAGGGGACACGGCTGGGACAGCTGACCCCAATGACCCAAGGGATATCCCATACCGTATGACGTCATGCTCAGTGTATACAGCTAGGGGAAGAAGAAGGAAGGGGGGGATGTTGGGAGTGATGGCATTTGGCTTCCCAAGTCACCGTTAGGTGTGATGGAGCCCTGCTGTCCTGGAGATGGCTGAACACCAGCCTGCCCCTGGGCAGTGGGGAATGAATTCCTTGGTTTGCTTTGCTTGCGTGCGTGGCTTTTGCTTTCCCTATTAAACTGTCTTTATCTCAAGCCACGGGTTTTCTCACTTTTACCCTTCCCATTCTCTCCCCAAACCCACTGGGGGGGAGTGAGCGAGCGGCTGCATGGGGCTGAATTACTGGCTGGGGTTAAACCACGACATTTGGTTCAGTGCCCAGAGATGAGCCAGAGCCTGGGAGTAAACTGCTCCCAAAGAAAAGGAGGCGCTGACTTTATACTGAATCCTACTGAAATGCTAACACACAAGAGGAATAAGCAGTGGTGAACAGGCGGCCCAAGGAAATGGGGCAGCCCTGCGTGACGGTGTAATTAACACAGCCGGGTGCGTTGTAGAGCACATCCGAACTGATGGGGTGCAGATACCACAACCGTGCTTAACTCTTCCCTCCACCCTTGCCAGGAGCTGCTGACGCGGCTTCAGTGGTAGGCACTATCTTCTTCATTATCTAAATGAGCTGCATACTAAAAAGCTGAGCTAATTTATGTCTTGCCCATGCACATTCCTCCTTGTCTTCATCACTCTCTCACACACATACACACACGTTATTTGCTCAACTCACCAACTCGCAGTCCTCGTGTCCTCAAGCCAGCTGCACTGATGTCCTTCCTGTGATTCTTTATGGGCAACCTGTAGACTTGGTTTCTTCTTTTCCTCATCTCTGGCAAAGAAGCCCCGGTGCCAGCAGTGCTCAGGGGCTGCTTGCACACTGCGGCTCCTGGGATCAGCTCTTCTGGAAGAGCATTTTGCATCAAACGTCTGGATTAGAGCCCTGAGCGGGTAGTCGCTTTCTACAGCTGTTATGACTCTTGCTTTGGAAGGATGATAGTTGTATTGGTGTAAGGATGACTGTTATTCCATGATTTTTTACATATGCCCACATGGGGGGCAAATCTTGAATAATTCTCACAACACTTTTATTTTGCAAAAGTCTGCCGGTCCTGACTGTCTCTGTGTGTAAATGCCTTTCTTACGCACGTACTGCTTTTCGGCCTGCTCTGTACCCCAGGTACCTTTCAACTTTTCTCTGTAATTACTCCAAAAACGGTTTCCCTTTCTATTTCTGCGTTCAGGCTGTCCCTCTGGCAGCCCTCGGCAGCTTCTGCAGGGAGCATTTAACAGCGCTCGGAGCAGTTTGGCAGCTGGGAGGAAGGCTCAGCCGGCATGGTGGCCAGCCAGCCCTCCTGCTGTTGTCTCCAGGGCTCCCCAGACCCTTCACCTGCTCCAGACCCTTCACGTGCTCCAGACTCTCCTACTAACAGCCTCTGGTACCTTCAGTGCAGTCCTGGAAGCAGCAGCTTAACGAGGGGACATGGAGCAGTGTTATCCTCCCTGCCCCGTTGGGCTCCCACAGGGATTTTAGGCTCCTCCACTCACAGATGCTCAGGAGTGTGCTCGTGTGCAGGTTTCTCCCTGGCCTCTGAATTTGTCACTGCTCAGAAGTTGCTGTTGCTCAGCCTGTGCTCACGGTGCTGTGGCTTGTCTTGAATCTGCTCTGTTCGTGCTGGCTTGGTAGATGGTGTAACTGCTCATTCTGGAAATGGCACAGCTGGTTAAGGGTCTTTATTAGAGAGAGTGTGAATTGGTGGGATGCAGAAACCAGAGGTTTGTGAGGATATGGTCTGTTCTTTTCAGCGCATGTCCATTACGTGGTTTTCAAATATTTAATTTCTGTATAAAACAGTGATGCTCTGGGCATCGAGCCAGGTATTTTAGCCGCACCTTCAGCCAGAGAAGCCCCAGGCATCCTGTCTCCCACACCTCATGGAAAACGCTGGAGCCTTTGCTAGGGTCTTCGTGTTGCTCTTGATTTTAGCATGGAGTGTGCTCTGATCTTGTGGTGATGAGTGGCAGTGTAGATGCCGAGATGTAGTTACTTGCCATCAGTGTGCTGAACATCTTGCTGAGAAGAAAGAGGCTGGCTTGACTTTGGAGTTCTTAAATGAAGGGGCTGGTGCTCCTGTCCTTTTTTGGGTAGGAACATGCACCTTTTGCACATCCTTCCATAACTTTGGACCTGGGAAATTAGGGAACCATTTGTATCTGTAAGCAGTCCTGGAAAGGAAATGAGTTAGAGGAATAGTGTTTAAAGGAACATCAAAAGAACAATTTTTAATTAGATTGTGTTTTTTTGTTTCACTGAGGTGCAAACCTGAAGTGGCTGTCCCTCAGCAGCGTGCCTCTCCGTGCAGCATTATTCAGCTGTTTCTCAGCTGCCGCTGGCCGCTGTGCCATGCTACAGCAATTTCTCTCCCTCTCTGGCCGTCATCTTCCTATTGCTTTAGGTCACCGATGAGCGTGTGATTTCCAGTAATGCCATAGCCTTACAAGAGCCCTTAATAAATAACAAGATGCAGTGGGGGCAAACAGGAGGAAAACAAGCGACGGCAGCCTCCTGCTCTGGCAGAGCAACTTGGCCAGATCACTCAGATTTGGGAACTGCAGCCAAACGATCCCTTCTCACGGAGTCTATGGGTCCTCTCCAGGTTAATGTTTTGTGGCTTTCCTCTTCCCCAGCCCTGGAGTTAAATGCTGCCGTGAGCCACAGGGGGAAATGGATACGGTTGGTTAACGCTTTGAAAATGCCTTCAGAGCTGCAGAGGAATGCTGTGATAATGGCTGCTGATCACGGAAGTCTCTGTTGATGCTGTGAAGAAGATTTATTCGTATTGTGAATCCTTTGCTTATAATTAATTAGCATTGCATTGCAGGCTGGGAAGACTTAACGTACCGGACTCTACTGTACTCTTGCTTCTTTCTTGTATTCTCCCTCTGGCTCAGTTCCTCTCCTCTTGTGTCTCTTACTTGGATTGCAAGCAGGTCAGGGCAGGAAATGTTGAACCTTGACAGTCCAAAACTGTTTAAGATGGAGACAGGGAGACAAATGTGGGAACATCAGTGCAGGGACTTCTGCAGCAAGGGGGTTTGCATCAAAGCCAGCATCTGTCTGGGCTGTGAAGGCGATGTGTGTATTTAGTCCTTCTCAGCAAGCCAGGCCAAGCAGCACGTGCCTTGCAGTGCTCAGAGGACCTGGTCGTAATCTGCCTTGCACCTGGTTTGACAAGGTCACGGTTACTGGGCTCACAGCTCTGATTTATTCTGGTTAGAGAGGGACTGAGAAAGAAACCTAGATCCTTCCAGGGATCCTGCCAGGTTAGGTTAGACCTAAGCCTTTTAAAACAAACCTTTTTAAGGTATGTAGCCTAAGTAATCGGTCAAAATACCCTGGAAAATATAGGAAGGACAGACATAAACACTTTGCTTTGGGATGTAAACAGCACAAGAACTGCGGTGCTGTATAGGAAAGCCAGGGCATGAGTCTGACAGTGAACATAAGGAGAATTGGATTAATGTGTTGAACCTGACCAACAAAGAGATTTGCAAAAGGAAACGTAGTCCTCAGAAAAAAGTAAATTTTGTTGGAAGTAAGACTCCATTTTCAATATTAAAAGCATTGCCTTGAAAAGACAGAGTTTGGAGCCAGAGTTTAGCTGCTCTAAGTTGGCAAAGCTCGGTTTGCCCGGGTAGCTCTGAGGTGACCCGCACTGCTAAGGCTGTGGGTTGCCGTCTGTGGCTGGGCTGTATCCCTTTCTTTCCCTCTTCCCAGAAAGAGATGTTTAAACCCAAGCTTGTGATTGCCTGAGCATCTTATTTCTGCCTTTCCTGTTTGTCCACAGGTACGTTGGTGAGCTGATATCCGATTCTGAGGCAGATGTCCGTGAAGAGGACTCCTACCTCTTCGACCTTGACAACAAGGTACTGTATCTGAAGGTGTCTAACGAGACAAACCCAAGGTCTTGCCTCTCCAAAAAAGCAAAGAGAATATTTGTCTCCATCTTGATGTACAGCGCAATCTGAAAGCCTGCAAAGAGGAGGACCACATCCTCGCTGTGTTTTAGTCAAAACATAGAGTGGTTGAGGTAAGGCTTAGGGCTTGTTAAAATGGTAACCGAGCCCAGCAGCGCTGGTACCGTGGTACGTGCTGCCCACACCAGTTTTGATGCCAGATGCTCTTCTGTCAAAACCGTTTGGTACCCTGAGTTCAGTTGTTCAGTTTGATACTCAAGTGTGTGTATGCAGGCTTGCAGCTGTGTAGATTGGCAGCTTTGTAAGTTCTTCATAAAAAGATGAGCTGAAAGACTGAAAAAAAAAAACCCAAAACAACCTCCGTTCACTTACAAAGGGATCCATCAGCTACCCTGGCAGGGACTTGAGGCTTGTTCTGCTGCTAGTTATTCTGCGCTGCTCTGTGGAGGGCTGTCTCAGAGCGGAAATCTTGCTTTGAAAAGTGCGATCTAAAGCTTTTAAGCAAGGCCATCACTTCAGACTTTCCTTGGGAAAGGAGAGGAGGAGAAAGGTGAGCTGGGGACTCAGAGGAGTGGGGTGGCTTCCGAGGAAGGCTGTAAAACAGTCTCTGTCTTGTTTCTGCCATCACATAGTGCCAAAGAAGCTTTGCTTTATTTTTTTGCCTTGTCATTTTTTAAGCAACAAACGTTCAACAACAGAAAAAAGATAAGTAACGAGTCTTGTAGTCAGTCTGAAAACAGTGGAGTCAAGCTGTAATTAAGAAGTTGAAAAGCAGCAGAGCCTTCAACCTGGTTTGTGCATTTATGAACAAGAGCCCACCTGGGCCTTGCCTTGCCTTTAGGTTAGTCCTTACCTGGCGGACTGCCTTGAGGGAGAACCTCTGCGTTTGCTCTTATGAAGCCTTCAGTGAAGTGAGGAGGGTGACTTAAGTGCAGGCAAAAGCATCATCTTTTTTCAGGGCATCTTCAAAGAGGAGATCTGTAGATAACCAGGCACCAAGTGATTGAGTGATCGTTAAAAGAAACCCATCGGTCCAGGTGGAGGAGGGCAGAACCAGCCAGGTCCTGTGGCCTCCTGAGTGATGGGAAGTTACTCAGGGTTTGAACCCCAATCCCGGGAGGGTCAACTTTGGGGTCCTGGTGTGTCTTGAAGGGGTGACCTGAAGGGGTTTGTGCTGTAGTGAAAAGAGAGTGGTTGGGTCATCATTTCTATTGTCCCTGTTGCTTGAGTTGTCACTCAAGGCAACATGCATGGTGAATCGTTCAGTGTGCCAGGTGCTGCAGTCACATCCAAGTCCACGTCTGAAAAAGGAGAAATATCAAACAGCCAAAATTTAGTACCATTGCTGGGTTCTAGGAGGAGGACGTAGCACAACAGATGCTCTCTGAGCACCCACTGGTTAAAGGGATAGTTTTCTTGTCTCTGTACTAGAGAGCTGGAAAAAAACAAGCTATTTCTGGGAAAGATGAGGTTGAGTGTTAGCTGCTGTGGTTGCTTTCTGTTGGTGTTAAGCCACCCCTTTCCCACGCGCAGGCCCATCCTCTGCAGTCCTTGCTCACACACTTGGCCCTGCTGTGCTCCGTCGAGGAGAGGCAGCAGTCGAGGCTGGAACGGGCTGCCCAGGGAGGTGGTGGAGTCCCCATCCCTGGAGGTGTTTAAGAAAAGACTGGACGTGGCACTTAGTGCCATGGTCTAGTTGACGTGGTGGTATTAGGGCAAAGGTTGGACCCAGTGATCCCAGAGGTCTCTTCCAACCTCATCAGTTCTGTGATCTGTGTGACCCCTGCCTGCCTGCAGGCCAGAAGGGCTCTCTCCAGGCATCCTCCCTTCTAAGAACCCTCAGTGCCTTCCCACTCTTGAGAAGGAGACTCACCTCACCCCCGAGCAGGTTCATGGTTTCTCCTCTTCCTCTCCAGTTGCCACCGTGTGACTCAGTTCCTGATACCCTCCTAGCAAGGTGGGAAGCAGTTTGCTTTGGGACTTGTCCTCCTCAGCAGCTTCACAGTGAGGATGCTGCCTGTGTTGGTCAAGGCAGCAGGTTCCTTTCTTGAGATGCACATCTTGACTTGCATGGTGGAGAGCTCAGCTCTTTCCAGATGGTCACTAGTGGGTGATGTTGTCCTCACCAACCGTGGCATTTCCATGGATAAAAGTGAGGGGGTGACGGGAATTACTTACGACTGAAATTAGAGCTGGTAACGCTGTGTGTGATATGGGACCATGTGGGGTGATGCTTGCCCCAGTCGTTGGGACATCTTCCCTGGGCTCCTGCACCAGCCGGGCGGTGTGATCTGGCACAGCTCATCCATTAACGATTGCAAGGTGCTTGCCCAAGAGGGAGTTTGAGCACTGCTAATGGATCCTTTTGCTTTTGGCCTCTTTGCAACTGAAATTAGCTTCTGTAATTAAAGTCTCTGCTTTGCACAGTCATTCTCTGCTGGAATAAAAAAGCCCTGAGGGGGGTTCTTTTATTTTCAAGGAAAACAAAATATTGCTCCTCTCTGGAAAGGGAATTTCTGTGTTCTCACTTTCACTTTTATCTGCAAAAACCTGTGTTTTCTTGAGGCTCTGGCTTTGTGTTTCCTAGCTGTCATGTTCAATTAGAGGACAGAACAGATGCCTGTTCCCGTATCCAGTGGCTTTTACCCAGAAGATGTCTGTCTGCACCAAACATCAATCCCACTACGCCAAACTGGCAGAGCAGGACTGGGGAGAGCTGATGTGCCAGCCAGCGTCAGGGGCATTTTAAAAGGTCTTTGGGCTTGTAGGGGCAGAGTGCCATGCAGAAAACTGTATTTTCAGGGTACTGTGGAATAGAAGAGTGCGTGTGTTTAGGCCTTTTAAACCCGCAGTGGGTGTCCTGCCCTGGTTGTTCTTGATGCTCTCCAGGGTATTTGTGGAGCGACCCATCGTTGGGTCATTTGTTTTATTTAAACACGTAGCATTAATAATACTAAACCCAACCTCATCTAATGAAAGATGCAATGTTTCTGCTCTAGGACGGCGAGGTGTACTGCATAGATGCCCGTTTCTATGGCAACATCAGCCGCTTTATAAACCACCTCTGTGAGCCAAACCTCATCCCGGTGCGAGTCTTCATGTCGCATCAGGACCTCCGCTTTCCCAGGATCGCCTTCTTCAGCACGAGGCACATAGAAGCCGGAGAAGAAATTGGGTAGGTGCTGTCCCCGGGGCTGCCCCTGCCTTGCTCGGGGAAGGATGGAGTGCAGAGGGATGAGAGCTCTGCTGCTCCTGAGCTGGATCACTCCATCCCTTTACTCCCCAGGCCGTGTCCCTGGGGATCCCGCAAGCGCGCTTCATCCCCTGAAGCTTTGCAGAAACCCAGATTGTGGCAGCACCCGAGGATTGCTGACCCTGGCATCTTGCGCCAATGCACGATCCCTTTTTGTTCCTGCGTGCTGCTGCTTTACACTGACCCCGTCTCTGTCTCTCTCTTGCAGCTTTGACTACGGAGACAGGTTCTGGGACATCAAAGGCAAATACTTCAGCTGTCAGTGCGGTTCACCCAAGTGCAAACACTCGAGCTCAGCGCTGGCCCAGCGGCAGGCGAGCACCTCGTCCCAGGACATGCAGGAAAACGGGCTCCCCGATACCAGCTCTGCCACGGCAGCCGGCCCCTTTTGAGGCTCCGCTCCCCAGAGACTGACTTGTTTTAACCCTATAGGTTCACATACTGTCTGAATTTCCATTTAAAGCGAAAAAAAAAAAAAAAAACAAGAAAAAAAAAAAAAAAAACAAACACAAACAACCCACTCAAGGAAAGCCAGGGGTTCGTGACACTTAGGGCTGTGCCACCGACTGTTACTTGAGGAATAAGTAAAAGCAAATCCCACCTCCGTGATGTTGTTCTCCCCTCCCTGGTCCTGGAAAGCTGCTGGTTTTCACAGTTGCGTGTGGAGGGGTGGCTGTTGCGTTTTTTTGGTTTTTTTTTTTCCATGCAAGCTGTCCTGGCCTCCATCTCTTAATGTGCTAAGTGTTGTCAGAGCCAAGGGAGAGCTGCCCGTCCTCCGAATATTGTTAATTGAATGGATCGCTCATGCCAAGTCATCTCCAGTTCACTTGTAATAAACTTTGAATACTTGATGGGACTTTCTTTTTAACAGCTGGGGGGAGCGGGGAGGGAGAGGGAGGTGCTGGTGTTTGGGTTTGCTTGGCACAGCCCCGGGGCAGGTTCTGCTGGTTGGTTTTTGTTGGTTTGTTTGGTTTTTTGGTTGGTGTTTTTTTTTTTTTTCCTTCTTTTTTAATCATGAGTTTCTCCCGCATCTTGCAGGACGTTGCGGTGGGGCCTTTCCCTAGGAGCTAGAGGGCATTTCTAACAAATACCTTCCTTGTTACCAAATCCACCGGCTTTTTTCTCTTCTGATGAGAAGAAACTCAGAGTCCTTACAATCCCTTTGGTTCCTGGCTCTCTCGCGAGCCCCCCAGAGACGCTTCCCCTAAGACCCCGCTCCCTCCCGGGCTTTCTCCGTTACAAACCAGCTCTTGTCTGCGCCGCTTGGCCGTGTTACTGTCTCAGTGTTCGGTTCGTCCGTGGAAGGATTTCCCTCGCCCTGTTGCATTAGTGGTTTTAGAGAGGGAAGGTTGAAGGGGATTGTACAAGACACTAACTTCTTAAGAAAAACAGTTTTTTTCTTTTTTAAAAAATAAAATGAATGATATATATATTATAGAGAACCTCGACTCGCATCCGTCGGCTGGGGCGAACAGCAGACAGGACATGTCACGGCGAGAAGATCCCAGATGCCACCAGCTCGTCTGTTCCCATCACTTTTCGCAACGCTGGGCACCTTCGATTAATTTTTAAACCACATGCTATGAGGTTTCAATAAACTGGTTTATTTTTTACCATTACCGAAACATTGGGGACTAGCATTAAAAAGAAAGAAAAAAAAAAAAAAAACACAAAAAAAACAAAACGACAACAAAAAGAAACCACAAAACAAAACGGTGCTGATTCTGGTGTGATTTTTGCTCACCACGTGAATATAAACTATCAATTGTATAAAAAGAACAAAGTGATTTTAGTATAAAATGCAGGAAAAAAAAACAAAACTTTTTTTAAATTGTTAGTATTGTAGTGTGAATAAATTTGCCATCACCTTTTGTGTGGTGGCTGGGCAGGTCATTAATTTTTTTTTTTTTTTTTGCATATATCTTTAAATACTGTAATTAGTGCAGTAACAGGTTTTTTTGTTCATCTCTTCTAGAACATTCATAATGCCGTCATGTTTATTATTATTATTTTTTTTTCTGTTAATGTTTTTGACAGTTTTAAAGGAGCAGTCTTTTGGCTCTGATCATTTTCTTGTTCTGTTTTCAATGAAATCAATAAAAAAAAAAAAGAAAAAAAAAAAAGTGCTTTAAAAGGAGTTTGGCCTTTTTGTCTGCCTGCAGTGCTGCGGCTGGGGCGGGCGGGGCGGGGACGGAGGGGGCTGGGGGTGGCACCTCCAGCTGGGGCTGAGCACCTCATCCTTGGGCTTGAAAGGAAAATGAAGAAAGCAGAAGCCTGACTGTTTGCTTTTTGGTTTTGGGGGAGTTTGGGGATT